CACTAGACTTGCGGGAGGGCCTATTGGCAATCGCTTTTGACCAGTGTTCGCAAAAAAACGGTACACTATCGTAGTGTACCGTACCAGGAACACAAACACTAAAAAAATGTTAGCGGAGCACTAAAAATCGTAGTGTACCGCGGTCGGAGCACTAAAAATCATAGTGTACCGCGGTCGGAACACTAAAAAATCGTATAGATTTAATAAATATAAAACTTTTTAATTTTTTTTATATATTTGATTAAAAATTAGTAATATTTTATTAGCATCAACCGTTTAACATAATAAATATTTTATAACTAAAAAAGGTCGTCTAGTGAAAATTCAATCAGAGGCCAACTCGCAACTGAAAATTCCATAATCCATTGTGCTGATCGGAAAAATGTATTGCATAAGACTACCTGTGCAAAAATCATAAAAAGGAAGAATATTCCAATAATGGATATGTATATGAAATTCGTTGTTGATATGGTACCTGTGTGTGGTTTTGTAATATTTATCCCAAAATCATAAAAATATGTTTTCCATATCCGCGTAATTTGTACACTTCTTTTAATGAATAAACAGGTAATTATTATGTTGATTGTGTGACAATCACCAAATTTTGAATATTTTTGCTAAAATTTCCTAAAAGTATGAATCATAGATGGATGCAGGTATAATTGTTTTAGGAAATAATGTTTTCGTACTAACATTTTACAAGGAGATCTCCCAATATTATGGGAAAAATCATGTTCGTTGTGTAAATCAATGAACATTTTATCCAAAGCTGAATAATTTTGTCACAAAAACTGGCCAAAATACCTATTTCTGATGGACATTTTCACTTTTGTAATTGCAAATAAAGTTATATTCAGTTTTATTTTTTTACTATTTTATCTCATTTTACCTACAAAAAAAAAAAAAAAAAACAGACGTGTATGGTACACTACCAGTACAGTTCAAGTAAGTGGAACGCTACGATTTTTATTGTTCCGACCAGTGGAACACTAAGATTTTTAGTGTTCCGACCAGCGGAACACAATGATTTTTAATGTACCGCAGTCGGTACACTACAATTTTTAGTGTACCACTGCCGGTACACTACGATTTTTTAGTGTACCGCAGAAGGTACGCTAAGATTTTCGTTGTGCTCCGGAACAGTAACGCTAAAAATATTTTTAGTGTTTGTGTACCGGTACAGTACGTTATTTTAGTGTACCTATCCACCTTGGTACGGTACAGAACACTATGGAACGGTACCATAATGTTTATTTTCGAACGCTGCATTTGACACCGTATTTTCAGATACAAATCCATTTTGAGCCCAAATGGATTCGTTGTTAATTACTGAGCCGTCCGCTGAAAAGACGCCGGAAAACTCAACCAAGGGGTTCCGATCAGCAACTCCCTCCACAGCCTCTGAAACAAGTCTGTGAAAGGAATTGCTATCCGGACCTTCCTCGATATGATGAGATATCCGCATCTGATCAGCGAAAAGCTCAGCTTTTTATTGGTCATCTGTAATAGATGTCCCATTATTATTACGAATGTCATTAATCGGACTCCGATGTGACTGTCCCGCAGCTCTTTTGACCCTCCCGTAGGTCCTGGAGCTCACTTCAATGCTCTCCAGGTATGATTTATACCTATCTCTTTCAAAGTTGGAGACTAATTGGCTGATAATTGCTGTCAGATTCCGGATGTCAGCTTTTAGAATTGCATATCTGTCCGGATCAAGTGTTCTTCCCAATGTTAGTTTCATTCTTTTTCGTTCTTGAATGAAACGAATAATATTGCGGGGCAAATCACCTAATAGTGGGCTACGACATTTAATTTTTGGGACTGAAACTTCAATAGCGTTTTGGAAGGTAGAGGTAAGACCTTCAATGCAAGCATCTATTTCAGCTATGTCTACGTTTCTATTAGTTGGTAGCAAATAATTACCAATATTATTCTCTATTTCCCTCTAAAATCTGCGAATATTAATCCTATCATAATTGAGATAGGATTGTGCCTCAATGGATTGAATGTTGCCAACACACACTCTCATTTTAACAGCCCTATGGTCGGACTCAAAGTAGTGTGTTGGCAACAAACCATCGTTTTCGAGCGTAATACCAGGTGATACTAAGAAATAATCAATGAAAGATCCATCTGTCCTGTTAGGTCTAGTTGGCTCTAACGTGGACATAAGGATAATGTCGGACAGTTTAATAGATAGTTATATATATATATCCCTCTCTGATTTGTGGCAATACCCCCTCAATCCGGATGCTTAGCATTCAGGTCACAACCAATGATAATTTCATTTTTTGTACCTAAATGTTTGATTTCATCCAGATGGGTGGGGTTAAATTGCTCCTGAGGTCGAAGGTACATGGAAACGAAAACAATATTAGAACCATTAGGTCTAAAAATCCTGGCGCAGCAGGATTCAATATTTCCTGTTTTTATATTAATGCATTCTGATTTAATGGTATCTTTTATAAGGATAGCAGTACCCCCTCCAAGCCTGCCACCTTCTCTACACTGCATATAAAGCGTGTATCCTTCAATGTAAAATCTATGCCTGTTATTAAGTTTGTGCTCAGCTGAGAGCAAAACATCAGACTGGTGTTCCTTAATAAAAAGTTTTTTTTTTAAAAAAAGTTTTCCACAAAGAAATTACAGAATTTACATTGATGAATACACACTTCATATTTGGTTGGCTTTAAAACAGACATTTCAGGCCCTTCTGCTACACGAATTTTGTGGTACTGCGTATGGAATTCATCCAGATTTTTCAGGAGTTCTGCTAAGTTTTTACCAAAATAAGATTTGCAGTCTATTCCAATTATGTCAGCAGTTTTAGGTGGCATATTTTGGTTTGTTATTGGGGTTTGTGTAGAACCCATATTTATCGGCAATGAAGAGCGAGCAACAGAGGCGTACGATATGCCCGTACGAATTTCTGCAATTCGTTCAGATTTTGCTTTTCTGATTGCCTCCTTTTCTTGGCGAATATCTGCCCTTTTTTGGAGGATAGCCTTAATCCTAGGACAGTCCCTAGAGTTGGCTGTGTGACCTTCGGCGTTACAATTTGCGCATTTCAATGTGAATTTTTTAGCCTCTTCTTCGGGTAAATCTTGTAATGCTTCTTTGTTTGGAATTAAACATTTACCTGGACCATGGTCCTGTGAGCACTTGACACATTGGTATGACATACCGCAGTTGTGCGACACATGGCCTGGTCGTTGGCAATTAAAACATAATGTAATGTCTCGACCTTTGTCTTTGACGAAATTGACATTATTATGTATAATTTTCTTTAAATTATATAATTTGCGCATGTCTGTGGATCTACCTAATTTAAAGATCCATTTGTCCTCAGCTATACTATAGCAGTTGATTAATTCAACATTAAAGTCCAATTTGGACATGAATTGAACTATACTGTCTTTAGAATATAAATGCGATAGCCCTTTAGCCACCACAGATACAGGCACCAAAGTTTTTGGGGTGTGGGTGTGGAATTTGTAACCCCTTTCTTTGAGCTAATTTTTGACTTTTATAAAATTATCCAAACCTATGATCCTAAGCGACATAAGATTTGTTTTTATTATTTTAATAGAACAATTTTCCCTACCAATATTTTTATCCAAAATTGTGGACATTTCAATAAATTTATTTTTATTGCATACCTCAGATGTAACACTATCAGAGGTAGCATCAGCATCAAAGTTCTCAGACATTGTTGTTGCCTGATTTGTTTTTGGTGAGTTGCGAACCGATGTTCGTTTTGATGGGTTTGGTTTCACGAACGAACCCGACGGTGGTGGTTGTTTTTGTTCCTCACTGATAGAGTGTTTATTGTCGCTACTAGCGTAGTCGATAATGACTTTTGTTTTTATGTTTGCATTACCTTGCGAGTAAAACTCGTTAGAAGGTAAGCCACAATCACTATTAAATGTTTTTGTCTCTTCATCTATGTTATTCATAGATTTATTCACTTAGCTTTTTTCACTTGAATTTTTTTAATCACACAAACACTTTTAACACTGTTCACAGAATCTTCTCCTTGGATATGATTTCTATTTCTGAAGTAGAGAAAAACTACCCCTGATCAGCGTGACCGCTGACATTTTTTGAAAAGTATCACAGAAAATATAATTTTTGAAAAAAGTGGCACAAATCTTTTGAAAAAGTGGCACACTATTTTGCTACATAATAACATGGAATCTGATGAAATTATATATGGACTGTACTTACAAATTTATAAATCGGACAAAAGCTAGGCCTTTTGTTCAAATATTTCAATATTTGAGACGATTTTAACCATATCTTTTATTCTCATCCCAAGCCTGTATCCCATGAAAAGTCATTGTAGGTTCTATTCGATACCCAATGGAAAATTTCGCCTCAATTGGGAATGAAGTCGGATCTTGGGCGCACCATCTTGTGTACCGAAGCTATATCTATATATTAACTGATTCTCAACAATTTGGATAGGCTAAACAAATGAGACGTGTTAAATTGCATCCTATTCGGATAATTACCTTCATTTGGGTTACTAAAATACTTTCCGTATGTCATCAAATGCACAATAACAATTCCCAGTACCACAGAATGTAAAAATTCTAATAGACAATTTAAATAAAACCAATTGAAAAACGGACCACATGAATATTTCCTTTGTAAATATCTTCGTGTACGACAAAAAACAAAGTGGCAAAATGTAAGAAGAAGTTGTACAAAATTTCAAAAAGTGGCACATTTGGTATCAAAATAAATAAGTGGCGCAAGAGTGACAAGGCCGGAAAACGTATCAAAATGGCTACTTTAGTGGCACGACGGTCACGCTGCCCCTGATACATTTTACGGCATCATTAATCAAGCGCCAATTCATTACCAAAAGTCAACCCTTATTCAACTACTTCTCCTGATGTTCTATTTAAACTATTTACATCAGATATACGATAAAAATTCTCATTCACTCTGTACAAAACTCCTATAAGTACAGATCAAAATATCTTTTCAAATCACTCTGGCTTCTCTTCAGTTTGTCGAATAAATCTTTCGCCTTTTACTAAAGATTTCCGTGGAGAGGAGCACTCTAATGAGTCTAACAGAGATTTTTTGAGCAGAGCCAAATATAATGTTTGGCTCATAAATAATCAATTTTAATGAAATAAAAACAATTAATGCTACTTTTAATGAGACAAACCAGGAATATTTTTTTTGAAAGAAGTGATGCGGAAATAAACGATAAACAAGAATACTATTGATTCTCCAATTTGTATCATTTTTTTTAGTTTCTGCTGCCAATTTCATGTGTTACGAATGTGATGGTGACAACTGCGGTAATGCGCCATTGGTGAATTGTGAAACTCAAACTACGCCGACAACTGTTTCTACTCCAACAACTACGGAAACTTCTTCTTCTTCGTCGACATCTACCACAGTTTCCTCATCATCTTCAACAGCGTCGTCCTCATCGTCTTCAACCGAATCATCTTCGAGTGTATCACCGTCGTCGTCCTCCTCAACCGAATCGTCTTCAACATCAACGACTGTATCACCACCGTCATCATCTTCAACAGAATCGTCCTCATCATCTTCAACCGAATCATCCTCGAGTGTATCACCGTCGTCGTCCTCCTCAACTGAATCGTCCTCGTCATCAACAACTGTATCACCGTCGTCATCATCTTCAACAGAATCGTCCTCGACATCTTCGCCAGCGTCTTCGTCGTCCTCAACAGTAGCTGCACGTTCGGATGTTTCCTATGCATGCTACACAATCCTCTATAAAGGTAAGTTTCCAAAAATTGTGGACAATAATAGACGAGGGAGTGTATATCAAATTTGTCATTACGTTTCACAGTGGGATAAAATGCAGATCTAGCATGCAGAGAATAAAAGTCGTTGTTCTATTGTATGTTTATCCATTATTTCGAATGGTTATAGAATGATAACATTACATAATTTATGAATATATCAAACTCCACCATAAAGAGTGGTAGCAATTTTCCGATGGCAGGTATTTTCCGATGGCTTAATGCTTGAGAAACACACTTGTCGTTGTATGACAATAACCCCAAGATGTGTAGAGAGTTTGATAATCAAGAGTTGTTGTAGGTTCGTATTAAATAATAGGGAGAAACCCCCAACAAAAAACTAAGGAAACTGATGAGGATCTGTTGCTAGATCCGAAACAATACCCTTCCCTGCTTTACCCCCCGGTGAATAATGCCATACTCCCCACTAACCCCCACCCCCGCACTAATAAAAAGTTTTTTTTTATAAAAACAACACACTAAGATTACGCCCGATTATCCCCACCTGACCATACACAAATTGCCGAATATTGGGGAGGCAATACCAAACATACGCAATGACAAACAAACTCCAAATCTATTTGTAACGACATTTGTTTCACTATTCGGATCCTAATGTAGCGAAAATAATAAAAAGCAAAACGAAAATGTAGCGTAGCTCTCATATAAAATCGATTATTTATTTCAATTTATTATGAGCCAGGATATGAATCCTTAATGCATGTCTTATTTTTTTCAGATGCCGACAAAACGAACACCAAGAAAGGATGTGTTGCAAAGACACCATCCGAAAGCGCATGTGCCGTTGCTGAAGCTAGTGTCACTGGTACTGTTGAAAAGTGCGAAATTTGTTTGAATTCCGAATGCAATTCAAGTGCCACAATTAAATTGTCAATCATGGCTGTGTTAGTCGTGTCATTGATGCGTCCATTTATGTAAAAGTGTGTGTGTGTGTGGAAGTACATAACTATGTAGAAAGATTCTCCATTGTGCCAATAAAATATTATATGTAATAACTAAAAATTATATTGTTTAAATCTGTAATCCAAATTATTATAATTATAAAAAAAAAATTAAAAAAAATTTTTCTATGGAAAGGCAATACTAATCATAAATATGTATTTAAACTAATGACAATATTGTATATACATTGATATGACAAACATTTATTATTTTATTAATTTACCTTTTATGTATTGCGTATATATTAAAAAATAATCTGTACCTTTTGTTCAACTCAAAAGTTAAATACACGTATTTCAATGGATGTTACCCAAATACGCACTACCAAGCTTTATTCATAAGGTTAACAGAGAGACGAATTCGAAGTCTTTATTGACTGTCAAATTTATTTTTTGAAGAATAAATAAACAAAAAATTTATTCGAACCAAAATATATGTATGTGCACATTACTGTCATTAAGTTTTCTTGAAAGATATTTTGAGTTTTTTCCTGTTCTGGTTGGTATTTCGCGATTAAAATTTTGACAGCAAGAAAAGACTAAGGCATGAATTCGCCTGCCTGTTAACCTTATGAATAAACCTTGCGCACTATGTACAAAAATTTAAAGTTGAACATTTTCAACATTGACAGGACTCATTTTTGATTTTTTGTTTTTTTTTAATAAAATTATTTTCATTGCAAAACAAAAATGGTTTCTATAGTACTAAATATTTTTCGATAAATTAAAAAATGTTTTTTACCATATTCACCTTTTTAAATTTGCGCACATGTAGATACGAGTAAAGTCCTTGCGTATTTGGGTAATACAGACGCTACTAAACCCTATAAAGGCGAGAAAGTGGGTATTTTAATACACAGCGCATTGAATTAAGTTCCAGCTCATTTCAAATGAAGACTTGTGTTTTTAAAAAACAATATATTTTTATGTCATCAGTATTTAGATTTAGGCTTAGACATACAAGCTAATGAAGAACAGTGTGTATCTCATTTCTGAGATACATTTTTACTCGACGTAGGGCAGAAAAACCTCCTTCAGCTGATGTTGTGGTTACCGATATCGTTTTTAAGATTTGTAACAATATTTGGAAATCGATTTTCGTCACACAATACAATCGCATCGAATGGGGAGCTTTCGCTTTTCACATAATGATCCACAGATTCTCTTCAGTATCTACTTCATGCTTACAATTTTTTTATAAAATTATGAACATTTTATAATTGGGGACACAGCATTTGATAATGTTTTAACTATTCTTTAAAATTCCACAAATCGGCTTGTCAAATATATAATTAGTTCGTCCAAATATGGGAAAAATAATGTAGTTCTACAAAAAGATTCGGAGTTCGATCTCATTACATTTGACCTGTGCTTTTGCGTACCAACCATTCTTGGCACTGAAACTTCGGCAATAATTTTTATCTCCATGAATATTTTGTGGATCTCCTCGTCACTATTTTGTGGTATAGCATTTAACTTATCAACTACTAAATGTGTGTGATTACATGATTTGACAATCTCCAGATTAATAGTAAAAAGGAACTATGAAGGGAGATGTTACTGCTATACCTAATAAAAAAATCGAATTTTACAAATCTGTGAGGAAAATGTACTGCATCACAACAACGTCAATAGAGAAGTATAAATTCATATGTTAATATTAATTTTGAAAATATCTAATATGTGTATATGTGTGGATATGCGATACAGGGAAACCGATCGAAGCCTTTTATTTGAAACTAACTGACCCGGCAAATAATAATTTTAGCAACGGTAATAATCGATATTGGAAGATAAAAAATCGTATACAAAATTAGAAGCTTTAATCTAATAATTCTTATCTAAAAAAATCATTTAGTATTGAGGGCACAACTTATTGTGAATATTACTTAAAATATTTGTTGCATATGTTTTTTCAGACTCTCGATTTGTTTCATATTTCCTTTCTGACCACATACGTTTCATGAACATTAAAATTGGTGCACGTTCTTGAGTTATATACGGGGTTTCACAACCGTTCATTAAAAAACAACGGAGTATGAATGTGATTCAAAACAATGGAAAATATATTTGAGGCACATATAAGTAAGTCATCATATATATGCTTCAAGAATTTAAAAAATGTTTAATAATACATTACAGATATCTGTAGCTAAAAAATCAACATAGCTAAAAATTTCAACATTGACAAATAGAATTCCAGTCATTGAAAAAAATGTTCCTCTTTAAATTTTCGTCGTTTTCAATTGACACACATGTAAATGAGGTCCTTGCATATTTGGGTAATACGAACAAACCCTACAAAGGTGAGAAGTTGGATATTTTACTACGCAACGCACTGAAGTTAGGTACGGGCCTTATTTAGGTAATTGGTAACATAATTAAACTCTATGTTATATGGAATATTTTTGATAGTCGTTTTGTTTCCTATTTAGAATGCGTTAAAGTTTCGGCCAATGTCCCAGATATCGTATGAGACCGAAATCGGCTCGCCATTATTGGTCCATATTTGAACATTGTCCGATTATATGTATTTTAAAGGTAGAAACAAAATGCCCTTTAAATTGCCTTTAATTCCGCATTTCACATAGGGTAAGAAACTCCCATGTTTATTATTGGTATGGGAAATTGTCGGTATTGCTTCACCCTGGATAACATGTATTTCCGAACATAACAAATCTATATTCTATGTAAGACATGAGTATACAATGATTACAAATACCGTTATTTTTTTCGGTTTTATATTAATAAATTAATTTCTATTACTTTATAAGTTCATTTTCAATTAAATATTTTTTTCAAAGCAATGACATTCCAATGAAAAGAACATATTTTGAGAATTTCCCACAATTGATAATTGTTTAAAGAGGTCATATTTTGGGCGAAAATTGGCAAACTATACAATCTTCGTCCAAAATATGTCCTAAAAGAACTTCGAAGTGATGACATCAAAAAAGTTCGATATAAAATGTGTGGAAATGCAAATATCCTTCAAAATATATTTTGCAATATTTTCGCGGATTTTTCTTAAAATTTTCCTTTATTAAAACACACCCACTTCAATTGCAGCCAACTGAAAGAAATTTTGATACAAATCGATCCTGCCGTTCCTTAAAAATATTTTTTTGAAAGATTTTCGCGGATTTTTCTCAAAATGTTTTTCCAAAAAACTTCCCCACTACAATCACAGACAACTGACTGAAATGTCGAGTCAAATCGGTCCAGCCGTTCTCAATTGATGAGTTACTATCAGGGTGCGCAAAAATTCGCTCGCGAATGATTCAAAATACATTCTTTTGGTTTTATGCTCATTTTACGAATGAATTTATGGCGATAAACGAGCATTCGCCAAAGAGCACACAACAACGATCGTTCGTTTCGTTTGGTGGATGAAATTCTTTCTGACATTATCTCACGAATGAAAACAAAACTTTCCCGAATTCTCGCGAATGCTCAAAACAGCAACAACAATAACAACAAACGTTCGTGAACTCAATAGTTGTTGGACATGTGTTTTGTTATTCCACACACTTTCTGCTACACACACATTCATTCGTTGTGTGTGTTTACTTTTTATGAGATTTTTGTTTGATGTTGTTTTTAATAGTGCTCCCGAGCATTCGAGAACCTTTGTTTTTCGATGTTTTCAAAACTATGTTCTTCAACAATAAATGCTCGCGAACGAACGAATCGACGACGCTTGCAGCGAAATTTTATCGTTCGTGAACGCGAACATTCGCGAGAGATTGCAAATTCATTGTAACTTTATCATTCGCGATAAATTGAAAACATTAGAATTCTCGCCGTGAGCATTCGTGAAAAAGAGCGTTTTTTAATAATTCTTCGCACCCTGGTTACTATACATTTTTTTACACCATTTATATATATAAATGTCCTTTTTCCCCACTTATTAGTTGAGTCTCAAATGCGAATGCAGAGTGTGAGGTCCATTTATTAAAATACAGATTTTCTTTATGTCGGTCCACCTTAACACATATACATTGAGATTTTATAGAAGTTCCTATTTTCCTCGTAAGGTGTAATATATAAAAAAAAATTTAACGTATCGATTTTTGAATTATCGATTTTTGAATTATGCCTGTCTTGCACCAAATGAGTTATATTTTCCTAAACATAGGGGTACTGAGAGTAATTACAATGGAATCTCCAATCCCACTGGAGCTATATTATACTATAGCGACTTCCGATGTAATATATAATAAACGGAATAGTAAACGGGATATACCACACTTGTCGATTGGATTGAACACTTGCCGAAGTATTATATAAAAGTTAAACCATAAGGTGGAGCGTAAAAAACCATTTTTAAATTTAGCATTATTTTTGACATTTTCATTTATTTTTTTAGCATTATTTTAATGCTGAATTAGCTCCGACTTTATTTTTAATCTTGTCACACAGAATGTGATTTTTTTCATTCGCGATCGCCATCATCATTGACATTTTTTAAGTACGGTACATGATTAATACGTAATGGATGGAAAGTACCATATCAAGTGTGATGCTGTATGTCACCATTTGCTTTTTCGTACAAAGTCGAATTTCACACAATTACATGTCAAGCTGCGAATTATTAAAATATTTAAAAAAATGTCTTAATTTGGTATGTTACTTGTAAAGATTATAAGTGGAAATAAAATAAAAGTATAACTATAAGTAAAGAATTAATACGAAAGTATTCGATATTTTTATCATAAAATGTATCTATACATATGGGTAAGTGTAAAAATAGTATTAAAGCAAGCGTTATTTTAGGTTGGTCGCAGAAAGTTGGTAACGTTTGTCAATTGAACCGCTCTTAATCTAAATATACGAATGTGGTTTTGCGGATTTGCGCGTTGTTTTCAATTATAACCATTTTTGTATGTTAAACCATTTACCGAAATACTGATTAATTTGGATCTGAAATAACTGGAGTAGACGTAAATCTTATATCCCGCCTCTAAAGATATTTTAATTTCATTATCATGTCAGTTTCCATTAGATTTAAACCTAGTATAATAAGGTACTACTTCTTTCGACGCAGATAATGAAGAAGATCCTGCTGAAGCTAAGCATAAATTGTATAAGGCCGACAGGTTACATCACGCTCGTAAGAGCACCCGAATGAATTACATCTTAGATATATTTACTAGGCCTTGGATACATCAGACCCTTCATCAGACGAACTACAAACGTATATAAATATTCTTAATGACTTAGATTTAGCAAATGAAACGGACTTCGTTTAAATAATAAAGTTCCATTATTCTTCCTGAAGGTTAAGAAAACTATTCTGGTTGAAGTGAAATATTTTTTCAATTTTAAGACTTTTGGCCACATAAATTGTCTGTTTGACCTATAGTGTCTTGACCAGAAATCACAACTACCAGCTAAATATCGTGACAGATCACTGGCAAATAAAACTACAACTTCCAATTTTATAAGCCCCCGTGTTAATGTATATTCGATTCTTTATTTTTGTTGTATTATCGTAATAAAATTGTTAAAAATTAAAAAAAAAAAATCACATGAACATTTTAGTTATATTTTTATAAATATTTCATCACACCAAATGCTATTCCATTCAAAAGCATCAGCACGGATATATCCATTTGAATCCGGAATCCTGCATTCGGTTTATCGTTGCAGCCATTCGAATAACACAAAATACAATTCTTATCTTTGGTCAAGCAATCACGAAGACCTTCCTCGGCCAATTCATCGACACAACCACGCATTGTCATATTGGAGTCAGCTGAAGGAATAAGAAAATTGAAAAATAAGGATAGGAAATATTCAATTAATAGCACACGTAACTACCATAAATATTGGAAAATCTGTAATCTATAAACAAAAATGTACATTCTTGGCCAAGACATCCACTATGAGCAGGCTAATTACGCTACACCTCGAAAACATTTTTGAGGTAACCTAAATTTAAATGCTCTAATGGTCCTATGCGCAATTGACTTCAATTGTCAGAGAAAATTGACAATATAGGTCCTGGTGTTTGTAGCAAAATCAGTCGAACTATATTGCTTTTCTTACCCAATTTAATCCCCCATAAACATACCTTTGAAAATGGTATAACAACCACTGTGACCACTATTCTTATCCGAATCAACGCTTTTACAATTCATCTGTGTAGTTGGTTTAGTTTTACAGGTAATGTCCTCGAGGCTATTACAGCTATAACAAGTCTTTGTGTTGTTGACGTTATTGTTTGTCATATCTGTAGTCACATGTGTGGCTTGTGTTGCTTCTGGCTCACCCTCTTCAGGAGCTGGTGCATCATTTTGCATTTCATCTTCGGGTTTTATTTCTGTGTCTGGCACGGCTTCGGGTTTTTCTTCTGCCTCAGCTTCAGGGGTCTCTTCTGGTTCTTCCGCAGGAGGTTCGGCTTCAGGCTCGGGTTTTTCTTCAGCTTCCGGTTCGGGGTTATCCTCGGGTTCTGGTGCTGCTTCAGCATTTGCTTCTGGTTCTGCAGCAGGTTCTTCTTCATTTGCGGGTTCCGGTTCAGGTTCGGCTTCTGCTGCTTCCGGTTCAGCTTCTGCTGCTTCAGGTTCAGCTTCTGGGGCCTCAGGTTCTTCTTCTGGTGCAGCTTCCTCACCACCATCGGCTTCGCCCTCTTCTTCTTGATGCTGGTTTATCGGACCTGGTTTCTGTTCAAAAACTTCAACATCATTAGGAGTTTTATGTGGTTCATATTTATTGGTCTCCTTTCCAGGGAATTTCTCAACCGCACTATTAGTTACGGTATGAACATCATCGTTAATTCCACTATTCATTTCAGTAGATAGGTAATTCACCGGAGCATTTTGCGTTGCTTGAGGTTCGACTGTGTGTTGTGTCGACATTTGTAAAACAATTGGTAACGGTGTTGTTGATAACATGGAGTTTTCGCTTGGTGGATGCGGAGTGACATCTGCAAAAATAAGAAAAGTAATTTTGTTAGGAAAAATTGAAAAAAAATTGTAAATGAAAAAAGACAGACTTGTGGAGCATATTTGGGATATATACAATAGCATTAAATGGGATCTATAATATATAGCTTGGTAAAGGGGTTACAGTAAAGGTTTCAATAATAACGACATTTTCCCAGGCTAAGGAAGTTGTGTAGGGTAACATTTGGTCGGTAACGTCCGCCTATTATTCTCCGTTTGCCATGAATTTAAACTTAACCACACTCCCTTGTAGCTCGAAGCTACGTCTGTGCCGTATGGTGATCTCATGGGCAGTCTCATTCTTCGCCTCTTCAACAAAATAAAATCCACTCTGTCTTCATTCTAGCCGGGTGCAAACTATGTAAGAACAATTGCCAGAGGGCACTTCAGCTTCTGAGCGGTAGATGCAGAGTTTTACATGAAGAGACAATTCTTGTGTCAGAATTGCTGATCGAGGGTAGCCCTTACTATTTTTTTGGATGATACATATAGGCTGTGTCTACTTTAATAAATACTTTACATACTTTAATACAAAGTGGGTAAAATAGGATGATGCAGGTTCCTTACGTTTTTCTCGATTTGGGGTCCCCATAAGCCACTCATTTCACGGCCTTCGCCAATTGTTACACCATTGAGACAAAATATGGCATAACGTGTGGAATTGAGACTAGAGGGTATAGTGTGTTGAGTTTCGTGAAAATCGATTCAGATTTAGATATAGCTCCAATATATATTTTCGTCCGAAATTTGGCATAGCGCACTGAATTATGTGCGTTAAGTTTTGTTAAAATCGGTTCAGATTTGGATATTGCTCCTATATATATGTTTCTCCGATTTTAAGTAAATGGTGCACCAACGACCCAAAGTTAAGCCAATTGACACAAAATTGTGCAGAACGTACTGAAGTTACTAAAACATATGGTGCGTCATGTTTTCTTGAAATCGGTTCAGATTTAGATATAGCTCCCATATATAGTTTCATCTGATTTTAAGTAACTCACACACCAAAGCACCAAAGAGTCAAGAATGATGTGCTATGTTTCGTGAAAACCGGTTCAGATTTAGATATAGCTCCCAATTGTGCACTAACGGCCTGAAGTTTGTCCGATTGGCATACAATTTTTGCAAGTGTCGTTGAAATGGGTTCAGATATAGCCCCACATATATAGTTTCGTCCGATTTTAGTTAAATGGTGTACCAAACTCCTAATGTTGGTCCGATTGACACAAGGTTGACGTTATTGCGTTTTGTAATTGGAAATTGAAATTGGTGCAGATGTTGACATAGCTTCCATACATATTTCGAACCGGAGTCTGATTGAGATTAAATTTTGAATAGCGCATGCCGCATAGCGTGTATCAAGTATGCTATAAATCGATTTACATACATGTATCCCATTGTACGCAAACGACTCTAAATCTGCCCGAATGATTTGAAATTTAGTATAGGTTGCAGAAAGGCATGTGTATGGATTGATGTTAGTCGGTTCCACTTAAAGATAAAGTCACATATTTAAATTCGTTCAATTTCCCTCGAGGGAACATTGACATGATATTGTTAGTATACAGTATATAGAATATACTCAAAGTGGTGAAGGGTATCCCATAGTCGGCCCAGTCCTTACTGGTTTTTTCTGCAATTTCTTGTATAAAATTAAGAAATAAATATGATGACATTATTTCTTCGAACCAAAAACAATTTAGTTGTTTGTATGCCTGGAGCGGTATATTATCTAGAGTAACGTCTCTTTCACAGTAACCCGACAGAAAATTCCACCTATGGGAACGTTTAACGCTTATCACTTTGAAGCACATTGTTTAGGGAGTGATGTCAATAAAGTAGTTAATCAGTCAACATTAATCGTCCATCAACGCTTCGGGTAATATTGTAAATATTCATTAAGTAAGTAAGCTTCAATTTGACAATATCTTAATTATGATTAATCAATTATCATTACGCCGTCAGGCGTTAGATTCTCATAAAAAGTTCCCCATCACAATTTGCAAAATTCCCAATTATAGAGAATATACCATTTATATTTCAGTGCGGTAGAGCAACAATATATCTGTTAAAAACGGGAATTTTATTTCACTACTTCTACTGCAAATAATGACATTACAACTAATGTGCCCCTTGAGCTTTAAAAACTAAAACAGAACACTTTATTGAATTTAATATTCAATAATATGAATTGCTGCCATTATTATCGAGTTAATATTCTGATAAAACAAAGTTGCTGTACAACAACAAAGGCAAAAGCAATGAAAACCGGTAGATAGGCATAAAATGTAATTAATTTCTTATTTGTTGTTAGCATGTTTTCTGCACATTATCAGATAAACCGTCCAGTTAAATTTCGAATGAATAATATACGAATGTATGTGCTGTGTATCTCAAATGTAAGTTTGTCGTATATAACTACTAATTCGAAATAAGACCTAATACATAATATTATATTCTTATTCTACAAAAAAAGATTGCAGCGACAGTTCAATAAATTTTTCTCATATGGGCAATATTGCCAATTTTTTAATATTCCATTTTCAAAAAATCAGCTTTTTTGTTTTTGTGGCACATCGATGCTTTTTGGTACACATATAGAGAAAAATGTTCTGACTCCGAAACCGTTCGCGATCAAATTTTTGGTTGATGCGCGCAAAAGTTATCGAGGTTTTAATTTTGGGCATAAGAAAAAAATCTTAAAATTACGCCGTTAATTATATTGACCAAAAACGTTGATATATATCTTCCTCCATAAAATAAGAATATGAATATATTATAATAATCGCGAAAAAGTTGCACATCTTCGCGAAATATGAGAAAAATAATAAAAATATAGGAGATTACGTCAATATTTTCATTATATTAATGACATGCACACACCTAAGAATTGATTTAAAAATATCTACATAATCAAAACCCCATGATGAATCAAATGATATCAAAATCACACAAGTTTGTGTAGCGGTTTGTAAATTACAGCGACAACAAAACAAGATATAGAGGAAAAATATTTGTTGTTGGTTCGAAGAAAATAATGTCATCATATTTTGTTTTTTAATTTTATACAAGAAATTTCATAAAAAATTTCGGGGTTATTCTCCTATTTTACCCGAATTTCGCCGAAAAATTTACATATATAATAATAACCACTTTTTGTGTATAAGTATACGCCTTGCGGAATATATCAAGACCCTTCCGATAAATCTTGGGGTTCTATAAATAGGAATAAATCTTAAAATAAAATAATATAATGAAATATACATTTTAAATTGCGTCTAAATCGCGTAATTATCAAAATCATTTGATGCGCATGCGGTTTCAAGGAAGTACTGAAGTTTACCTTCCATGTATATTTTGCGAAATTTTATTTGACGGCTAAGATGTGCCACATGTTGCATTGAAGTATCCAAAAACTCGTAAAACGCAAATAATTTCCGAAAACTCGATATGCCATTAACGCGCATCCGATTTCGGTGTGCACCCTAAAAAAATGCATCAATCTATACCGAATTCCATGTGGTCCATTAAGAACCATAGATGTGCCAGCTCACACTATTTTTGAGATAAATTGGGTACATCTCTCTTTCGACTGAAGTTTTTAAAGGTCTCTTTTCGAAAAAGATCAAAATCCGTATATGGTCATTTATTGAAGCGGAAATGATGCACAGAAAACGCAGTTAACTCCGCGATATTTTCAAAAGCATTTTTTGCCAAATTTCGTGCTTCTGAAAGGCCAGTTCCCGCCGTTCTAGTAGATGGATTTTCACGAAGAAGACTTTATATCATCCGAAACGTAAAAAACCTTATTGATCGCGGGTACCCATATCATTCAGTTGACAGATCTAAAAATTTGGCCCGAAAAATAGGTTTTTTAGAAATTTGATCGCACAAAATTCTCAACTTCGGATGAGTATTACTCTGAAGCTGTGCATACTACATACACAAAATACCTATCAAATTACGCAGATTCGCGACTACAATAATCTTATAATCGATTTTTAGAAATTCCTGTTTACGTATTAAAGCTGAAAGTAAAATTAAAAAAACACTTAAAATCGAGCTTCAAAATATCAGCATTATTTAAAGGTAGATGCAGTTAAAATTTTGAAAAATGATACATAAAGGGCGTAGTCCCCATTTTGTTGGCTTCTAGTTTTACTTTGACACGAAGACCGTGAAATGAGTGGCTTAATCACAAATCGATAGAGAACATAAAAAAACTGGTTCGCCTCAACCTGTTTTTACACATTTTTTTACATTAAAGTAGACACAGCTTCCACCAAAATAAAGTTTGGAGGTCAATATCATGAACAGTTTGCAACGACAGATCAATTAACCCAAAACTATTCATTTTATTTTTATATACTTAAGTAATTGCCGAGTTATAAAGGGGTGAACCTCCGCTTCAGCTATGTTAAAAAATTGGCAATATTGCCCATATACTTTCATTCCTGATTTATAAAGATGTGAACTTTGGCTTCTGCTATGTTAAAAAATTGGCAATATCCGCACCAGCGGCCCCCAAAAATCCTGCGTACGTTCCTGTATACTGCAAAAACGATCCAATTTTAATGGATATTTCTTATCGTCCTCAAAAAACATTTATTATAACAGGGAGTCTCATGATGTTACGAATTCGTTTTAATCATAAACCCTTCATTTTGAAAATTCGAATGTGATATATCAACTTTTACGGTTGTGAGCCAATTTGGCCAAGAAATGTTTTACCATTTATTGGGTGTTTGCAGTGCATTGAAGTAATATATTATTTAAAATTTCGTATTAAATCGATTTTCTATAATGAAACGAAATCAGGAGAAAAAATATTATGTATAAAAAACTAATAAAAAGAAGAAAATATCAATCAGATGATGCATCCGATATAATTGACATCGACCAACGTGAAAACGAAGTGGAATCTTCAAGCGGTGAAGATAAAGATCATTGTTATACAGAGTTAGTGTTATTTGTGACTCTGAAAACGAAGATGAATTTTTCGTCAAGTATTGAATAACAAAAATGGTTACAAAATCACAATTGTGAGCCCTTGTAGCAATTTTATTTGCTAGGAGAGCATACGAGGTTATGTTTTTTTTTGCCTAGACAATGTCTAGAAATAATTGTTTGAAATACTTCGTTTCATACTTTTCGACAACTCAGTGAAAGACTTAAGACTGATAAATTGGCCTTAATTTCAAAAATGTGGGACATTTTTATAAAGAATAGTCAGGTTTGTTACAAACCTGGCGCAAACATATCTACCTATGAACAATTATTCCCGATGTTAGAAGCAAATATCTTGCAAACGGTTCCCATACTTTGGAAAGTAGGGCGAATTTGTAGTAATGGTGTTTTTACACGATATGTATTTTCCATATGTACTGTCACTTTTTTGCATATGGAAATCGAACTCGTCATGTGAAACATACGGAAATTTCAATGTGTTAAAACGATGTGCAATTACATATGTATTTTTTTCCGAATAGGACGCGCTCTATTTTCGTATGTGAAACATAAGGAAATCAGCTGTTTGAATGAAGCACATTGTTGGAAGTAAATATTTCAATTGCAAGTCAAAGAAAAAGATGAAAAGGCAACAATTACAAATTATTATTTCGTTTGTAGGTGTTTAATAAAAAAAAGATGTTGATTTAAGAAAAAATAAAAGTGATTTTTTTTGTTAAAGGTTATGTCATATGTAAAATACATATGCCGATTTGAACACAAAAATAAATGTTTTGTGTACGCCGCTAATTTTGACGCACATAAGGAATTACATATGGATGAAATAAGTGACAGCACATACTATGTAAAATACATATCGTGTAAAAACACCATAACTAAGTTTGCAGAGCAACATTTAGGCTGTGAACGAAATATTACCACGGATAATTTGTTACCAGCATTTCGCTTGCAAAAATAACTTTGGCTGGCACTAACGTGCCAACCGAACTTGTTCCATATATATATGACGGGACTCCCAATTTTGGGTATTTTCGACTTGAAGTTGAAAATCTTCTTACCAGAAATTATCAATACCGTGCACTTGTAAATATAGTACTCACATAAGGGTATCTATACCATAACATATCACTTATTGGTAACATACAGAAGGAAAGAAGATGGATCCATAAAAGAAACACTTAAAGTCATGAAAAATATTGGTGGAATATTCACAGCTAAATCCTTCCACAATATTTTCCACGTTGTTGAGCAACAGAGGCCCAATTACTGCGAACGACGACAATAACTTTCTGAATCTAATGACGTGTGTGGAGTTTTACTCCAATCAGTTTAAACTTAAACCTTTCATATATAAACCTTCCCTATAAATGTTTCCATCCCTTTAATTGTACTCAAAAAATTTACAAAATATATATATATATATATATATATATATATCGACGCCTCCGAACCATAGTATGCTAAGTCGACTTAGCATGTTTTAAAGTTCTTTACGTTTTTAGATACTACGGTCCTTAATTTATATTCTATGAAATTTTGGTGACCCTCGGCCAATCCAAACCAAGGTTATAAGCAAAAATGTACTTAGCATGGCCCGTAAGATATATGAAACTTCCATACTTTGAGAGCTTCTACTGAAAAACTCACTTTTCAGACTTATATATATATATATATATATATTAATTTTGTAAATTTTTTGAGTACAATTAAAGGGATGGAAACATTTATAGTGCTAAGTTTGGTGTGCTAAGTTTGGTCTTAATGTCATGGTGTCATCGGAAAAATACCTAAATTCTACAAATAGTTTTATTAAAATCTGATCTAAAATATTTACCATTTGTTTGAAAATCCGTTTCCTCAGCATTCAGCGTAACAAACAGCGCACACCAAAATAAACTTTTTATTAAAGACAAATTTATCATTTTGATTTTTTTCTTAGATGTTCACGACAACAGTCTATCTGGGAACTTTCACCGCACGATTGCGAATAACAACTGCAGATCTTCACGGATTTTGTTTAACACAAAATGTACATTTATTTATCGTTAATTGATATTAAACTTTGTTTACTTGTTTGTTCTTTTGGTATCACTGATAGTGAAGAGGCATCCCCTTCTTATCTAAAGAAAAATGATGTGATTATGCTTTTGCAATTGAACTAAACTTATCACTACGATCCAGGCTGGAGAGCTTGGAGTTTTCAATATTAACCTGTCTTGACTTGCTTTGCTTGGTGAAATTGAGTTCAATAACAATTCGGGCAAATATTTGTCCGTGCACTTGAAGCCTTCTGACTCAACTGAAACATTCCAATGTTGCCGATGCAACTCAGGGTGACGGGTAAAAAATTAAAAAAACAACAACAGCTAATATTAAACAAGACATTCGTGTCGCCAGCAGCAGCAACACCTTTGAGCATTCCACTGACCCATTGTGGGGCCAATTCATAAATCAATAAAGTGTACCTTTCTTTCTATAGAAGCCGAAACAACAACAACAGCTGTAATTCGTTCCAACAACATGTGTTTGTTGTTCGTTCTTTACGGGGAGCTCACAAAAAAATGTTAACACACTATAACGTTGTATGTATATCTCTATGTTTATATGTTTGTAGAGAAGGGGCTACTTGTTTTCCAACAAAAGCAATTATAAGGCTAAAATAAATTCAGTGTTCACATGAATTGTTGCGGTACACGTTGATATTATCCAGTGGAGATAACCCAGATAACATTTAAAGGACATTTATAGCTAGATTGGAAGGCATAACTATTCGCTGGGCCAGTTTAAGTTACACCAAGATCGGCGACTCTGATAGACGGCTACATTACATAATTGTTAGATAATTTACATAACAGTAGGTCTGTTCGTTTATATTTTAATATATATTACTCTGCCATTCCATTTGCAACTCCTCGAAATCTTGAACTGTTTATGTTTTAGCATAGCCTCATTTATATTCAATCCCTATTTTGATCCTATTCATATTTTCCATGTCCATGTTTTGACATAGTTCTTATATAATGGTCCATCCATCAATTTTAGTTATTTGCTCAGACTTCAATAATATTTGTATATGCATACTAAAACAAAATTAAATACCACAATGTTCGCTTGGACAGACATTCAACAATTTGTTCAAATCATCAACTTCTAACGATAAATGTATCCACATTAGAACGCTTTAAATTTTTAATGATGTGAAATGCGAATATGTATGACAACACAAAAGACACGACACGACAGATATCATTTCATTGGCTTTAACCACAGAAACCGGTCGGGTGATACTTTTACATGCCAATAATACAGGACACTACATATACACGCTCATTACAAATGTATTGGTGTCCATTACACGTGTAAATAACATTTGTATAATAAATTGGGCGCCACAATGGGGTAAGCTTTTAATTGAAGTCATATAACCGTATAAAAACAATAGGTAATAGAAATTTGAAGCCATAGAATATTAATAGAAATATGGAATTTAATCTTCTATATTCTATATATGTATATAAAAATGGAGCAAGAGAAATATATACTAACGCATCAATTGAGAACGGCTGGACCGATTTGACTCAAAATTTCTTTCAGTTGTCGGTAATTACAGTGGGAAGGTTTTTATGAAAGAAAATTTTGAGAAAAATCCGCGGAAATCTTGCAAAAATTATTTTAAAGAAACGGTTGGACCGATTTGACTAAAATTTTTGTTAGTAGTCTGTAATTGAAGTGGGAAGGTTTTAATAAAAGAAGATTTTGAGAAAAATCCGCGAAAATGTTGAATAATATATTTTGAAAGATATTAGAATTTCCACACATTTTATATCGAACCTTTATGGTTTCATTTCTTCATAGTTCTTTTTGGACATATTTTGGGCGAAAATGGGCAGCGTATATCTTTAAGTAATTGTCAATTATGGAAAATTCTCAAAATATTTTAATTTTCTACAATTAATTGGATTGTCATTGCCTTGAAAAAACTATCTACTTATGTATATAAAATAGAAAAAAATTGTTTGTTTGTATATTACCAATAGACGCAAAAACCGCTGAACAGGTGTTAATGAGATTTACACAGTATGTCGTCATGACGTATCCTGAAAGTAACATAGGATATATAAACTTCTAAAATTCCTCGTGGATGGAACGTCTTCAAAATTTGTCTGAATAACGTAGGTGTAAACACACATCATCCATACAAAAAATGAGCGTGGTACGATTGGGGAAAATGCCCTCCCGTTGCACTTAAATAATTTGCATACAGCGAAAATAACATTTTTTGTTTGATTAGTCAAAAACTGCTCAACAGATTTTACTGCGAATTTTACAGCACCTCATGCTACCTGATAGAAAAATCATAGGCGGAGTTATAGCATCAAAAGTAATCACAAATCTGAAATGACATAGGTATTCTCTGTTTATATCCTAAAGGGCGTTACAAATTCCCACTTTAAAATTTGCTTGAGTAAATTGGTTGCAAATACGCATCATGCATATGATTGGGGCGATACAATGGACGGAATTTACTCACAATTGAATTTAATATATCTATACATGGACAAAAGAAACACTTTCGGTTGTAGACACAAAAATCGCTGAATAGACTTTGCAGAAATTTTCGCAGTCAGAAATGCCAT